GTGGACCACGCAAGCTCCTGGACCACGCAAGCTCCTAGACCACGCAAGCTCTTGGACCAGGCACGCTCCTGGACAAGGCAAGCTCTTGGACCGGGCAGGCTTCTGGACCAAGCAAGCTTTTGGACTAGGCAAGCTCCTCGACCAGGCACGCTCGTGGACCATGCACACTCTTGGACTAGGCAAGCTCTTGGACCAGGCAGGCTCGTGGACCAAGCAAGCACCTGGACCAGGCAAGCTCCCGGACCAGGCAAGCTCCTTGACCAGGCAAGCTCCTAGACCAGGCAAGCTCCTGGACCAGGCTCGCTCGTAGACCAGGCACACTCCTGGACCAGGCATGCTCTTGGACCACGCAAGCTAGTGGATTGACACGCTCCTGGACCAGGCAAGCTCGTGGACCGGGCAAGCTCCTCAACCAGGCAAGCTCTTGGACCAGGCAAGCTCCTGGACCAGGCAAGCTCCTGGACCAGGCAAGCTCTTGGACCAGGCAAGCTCTTGGACCAGGCAAGCTGCTGGACCAGGCAAGCTCTTGGACCAAGAAAGCTCCTAGACAAGGCAAGCTCCTAGACCACGCACGCTCGTGGAACAGGCAAGCTCATGGACCAGGCAAGCTCCTGGACCAGGCAAGCTCCTGGACCAGGCAAGCTCGTGGACCAGGCAAGCTCGTGGATCAGGCAAGCTCGTGGACCAGGCAAGCTCCTGGACCGCGCAAGCTACTAGACCACGCAAGCTCTTGGACCAGGCACGCTCCTTGACCAGGCAAGCTCTTGGACCAGGCAGGCTTCTGGACCAAGCAAGCTTTTGGACCAGGCAAGCTCCTGGACCAGGCAAGCTCCTGGACCAGGCACACTCGTGGACCATGCACGCTCTTAAACCAGGCAAGCTCTTGGACCAGGCAGGCTCGTGGACCATGCAAGCTCCAGGACCAGGCAAGCTCCCGAACCAGGCAAGCTCCTTGAACAGGCAAGCTCCTGGACTAGGCAAGCTCCTGGACCAAGCACGCTCGTAGACCATGCTCGCTCCTGGACCAGGCAAGCTCCTGGACGAGGCAAGCTAACGGACCAAGAAAGCTCTTGGACAAGGCAAGCTCCAGGACCAGGCACACTCGTGGAACAGGCAACTCCTGGACCAGGCAAGCTCCTGGACCATGCAAGCTGCTAGACTAGGCAAGCTCCTACACCAGGCAAGCTTCTGGACCTGGCAAACTCGTGGATCAGGCACGCTCCTGGACCAGGCAAGCTCCTGGACCAGGCAAGCTCCTAGACCAGGCAAGCTCCTTGACCAGGCAAGCTCTTGGACCATGCAAAGCTCCTGGACCAGGCAAGCTCTTGGACCAGGCAAGCTCCTGGACCACGCAAGCTCCTGCACTACGCAAGCTCTTGGACCAGGCACGCTCGTGGACCTGGCAAGCTCTTGGGCCTCTGGATCAAGCAAGCTATTGGACCACGCAAGCTCCTGGACCAGGCAAGCTGTTGGACCAGGCAAGCTACTGGACCAGGCAAGCTCTTGGACCAGGAAATCTCCTGGACTAAGCAAGCTCTTGTACCAGGCAAGCTAACGGACCAAGAAAGCTCCTAGACAAGGCAAGCTCCTGGACCAGGAATGCTCGTGGAAGAGGCAAGCTCCTGGACCAGGCAAGCTCCTGGACCACGCAAGCTCCTGGACCAGGCAAGCTCCTGGACCAGGATAGCTCCTGGACCAGGCAAGCTCCTGGACCAGGCACGCTCCTGGAGCATGCAAGCTCCTGGACCAGGCAAGCTTCTGGACCAGGCAAACTCCTGGACCTGGCACGCTCCTGGACGAGGCAAGCTCGTGGACCAGGCAAGCTCCTAGACCAGGCAAGCTCCTGGACCAGGCAAGCTCCAGGACCACGCAAGCTCTTGGACCAGGCAAGCTCTTGGTCCAGGCAAGCTCCTGGACCAGTCAAGCTCCTGGACCAGGCAAGCTCCTCGACCACGCAAGCTCCTGGATCATGCAAGCTCTTGGAACAGGCACACTCCTAGACCAGGCAAGCTCTTGGACCAGGCAGGCTTCTGGACCAAGCAAGCTATTGGACCACGCAAGCTCCTGGACCAGGGAAACTCCTGGACCAGGCACGCTCGTGGACCGTGCACGCTCCTGGACGAGGCAAGCTCTTGGACCAGGCAGTCTCGTGGACCAGGCAAGCTCCTGGACCAGGCAAGCTCCTGGACCAGGCAAGCTCCTTGACCAGGCAAGCTCCTGGACCAGGCAAGCTCCTGGACCAGGCACGCTCGTGGACCATGCACGCTCTTGGACTAGGCAAGCTCTTGGACCAGGCACGCTCCTAGAACAGGCAAGCTCTTAGACCAGGCAATCTCCTGGACCAGGCAAGCTCCTGGACAAGGATAGCTCATGGACCAGGCAAGCTCTTGGACCAGGCACGCTCCTGGACCATGCAAGCTCTTAGACCAGGCAAGCTCCTGGACCAGGCAAGCTTCTGGACCAGGCAAACTCGTGGACCAGGCACGAACCTGGACTAGACAAGCTCCTAGACCAGACAAGCTCCTGAACCATGCAAGCTCCTGGACCAGGCAAGCTCCTGGACGGGGCAAGCTCCTTGACTAGGCAAGCTCCTGGACCAGGCAAGTTCATGGACCAGGCACGCTCGTGGACCATGCACGCTCTTGGACCAGGCAAGCTCTTGGACCAGGCACGCTCCTCGAACAGGCAAGCTCCTGGACCAGGCAAGCTCCTGGACCAGGATAGCTCCTGGACCAAGCAAGCACCTGGACTAGGCACGCTCCTGGACCATGCAAGCTCCTAGACCAGGCAAGCTTCTGGACCAGGCAAACTCGTAGACTAGGCACGCTCCAGGACCAGGCAAGCTCCTGGACCAGGCAAGCTCCTAGACCAGGCAAGCTCGTGGACCACCCAAGCTCTTGGACCAGGCAAGATCCTAGACTAGGCAAGCTCCTGGACTAGGCAAGCTCCTAGACCAGGCAAGCTCTTGGACCAGGCAAGCTCCTGGACCACGCAAGCTCTTGGACCAGGCAAGCTCTTGGACCAGGCAAGCTCCTGGACCTCGCAAGCTCCTGGACCAGGCAAGCTCACGGACCAAGAAAGCTCGTGGACAAGGCAAGCTCCTGAACCAGGCACGCTCGTGGAAAAGGCAAGCTCCTGAACCAGGCACGCTCCTCGACCAGGCAAGGTCTTGGACCAGGCGAGCTCCTAGACTAGGCAAGCTCCTAGACCTCGCAAGCTCTTGGACAAGGCAAGCTCTTGGACGAGGCAAGCTCCTGGACATGGACGTAGACGTGGACGTGGACCTGGACGTGGACGTGGACATGGACATGGACGTGGACGTGGACGTGGAGGACTTGGACGTGGAGGATTTGGATGTGGATTGATGTGATCGTGGACGTGGACATGGACGTGGATGTGGACATGGACGTGGACGTGGACGTGGAGGACTTGGACGTGGACATGGACGTGGACATGGACGTGGACTTGGACGTGGACATGGACTTGGACATGGACGTGGACATGGACGTTGACATGGACTTGGACATGGACGTGGACATGGACGTGGACGTGGACGTGGACGTGGACGTGGACGTGGACGTGGACATGGACGTGGACATAGACGTGGACGTGGACATGGACGTGGACCTGGACGTGGACATGGACGTGGACGTGGACGTGGACGTGGACGTGGACATGGACGTGGACATGGACGTGGACGTGGACGTGGACGTAGACGTGGACATGGACGTGGACGTGGACGTGGACGTGGACGTGGACATGGACATGGACGTGGACGTGGACGTGGACGTGGACATGGACATGGACGTGGACGTGGACATGGACGTGGACGTGGACATGGACGTGGACATGGACGTGGACATGAACGTGGACATGGACGTGGACGTGGACGTGGACGTGGACGTGGACGTGGACGTGGACATGGACGTGGACGTGGACGTGGGCGTGGACGTGGACGTGGACGTGGACGTGGACGTGGACGTGGACATGGACGTGGAGGACGTGGTCGTTGACTTGGACGTGGAGGTGGACGTGGACGTGGACGTGGTCGTGGACGTGGACGTGGACGTGGACGTGGACATGGATGTGGATATGGACGTGGACGTGGACCTGGACATGGTCGTGGACGTGGTCGTGGACGTGGACGTGGTCGTGCACGTGGACGTGGACGTGGTCGTGGACGTGGACGTGGACATGGACGTGGACGTGGACGTGGTCGTGGACGTGGTCATGGACGTGGAGGACTTGGACGTGGAGGACTTGGACGTGGACGTGGACGTGGACGTGGACGTGGTCATGGACGTGGTCGTGGACGTGGAGGACTTGGACGTGGAGTATTTGGACGTGGACGTGGACGTGGACGTGGACGTGGTCGTGGTCGTGGACGTGGTCGTGGACGTGGACGTGGTCGTGGACGTGGTCGTGGACGTGGACGTGGTCGTGGACGTGGTCGTGGACGTGGACGTGGTCGTGGACGTGGAGGACTTGGACGTGGAGGACTTGGACGTGGACTGACGTGGACGCGGACGTGGACGGGGACGTGGACGCGGACGTGGACGCGGACGTGGACGCGGACGTGGACGTGGACGTGAACGTGCACGGGGACGTGGACGTGGACGTGGACGTGAACATTGATACGTGGACGCGGACGTGGACGTGGTCGTGGACGTGGACGTGGACGTGGACGTGGTCGTGGACGTGCACGTGGACGTGAACGTGAACGTGAACGTGGACGTGGACGTGAACGTGGACGTGGACGTGAACGTGGACGTGGACGTGAACGTGGACGTGAACGTGAACGTGAACGTGATCGTGAACGTGGACGTGGACATGAACGTGGACGTGAACGTGAACGTGGACGTGGACGTGCACGTGGACGTGAACGTGAACGTGGACGTGAACGTGGACGTGGACGTGGACGTGGACATGGACGCGGACGTGGACGTGGACGTGGACGTGAACATTGATACGTGGACGTGGACGTGGACGTGGACGTGGACATGGTCGTGGACGTGGACGTGGACGTAGACATGGTCGTGGACCTTGACGTGGACGTGGTCGTGGTCGTGGACGTGGTCGTGGACGTGGACATGGACGTGGACGTGGACGTGGACGTGGACGTGGACATGGACGTGGACGTGGACGTGGACGTGGACGTGGTCGTGGACGTGGACGTGGACGTGGACGTGGACGTGGACGTGGGCGTTGACGTGGGCGTGGACGTGGACGTGGACGTGGACGTGGGCGTTGACGTGGTCGTGGACGTGGTTGCGGACGTGGACGTGGACGTGAACATTGATACGTGGACGTGGACGTGGACGTGGTCGTGGACGTGGACGTGGACGTGGACGTGGACGTGGTCGTGGACGTGGACGTGGACGTGGACGTGGACGTGGACGTGCACGTGGACGTGGACGTGAACGTGAACGTGGACGTGGACGTGGACGTGAACGTGAACGTGAACGTGAACGTGAACGTGAACGTGGACGTGGACGTGAACGTGGACGTGGACGTGGACGTGAACGTGAACGTGGACGTGGACGTGGACGTGGACGTGAACGTGAACGTGGACGTGGTCGCGGACGTGGACGTGGACGTGGTCGCGGACGTGGACGTGGACGTGAACATTGATACGTGGACGTGGACGTGAACGTGGACGTGGACGTGGACATGGTCGTGGACGTGGACGTGGACGTAGACATGGTCGTGGACCTTGACGTGGACGTAGACATGGTCGTGGACGTGGACGTGGACGTGGACGTAGACGTGGACGTGGACGTGGACGTGGACGTGGACGTTGACGTGGACGTGGACGTGGACGTTGACGTGGACATGGACGTGGACGTGGACGTGGACGTGAACGTGGTCGTGGACATGGACGTGGACGTGGACGTGGACATGGACGTAGACGTGGACGTTGACGTGGTCGTTGACTTGGACGTGGAGGTGGACGTGGACGTGGTCGTGGACGTGGACGTGGACGTGGACGTGGACGTGGACATGGACGTGGATATCGACGTGGACGTGGACCTGGACATGGTCGTGGACGTGGTCGTGGACGTGGACGTGGTCGTGCACGTGGACGTGGACGTGGTCGTGGACGTGGACGTGGACATGGACGTGGACGTAGTCGTGGACGTGGTCATGGACGTGGAGGATTTGGACGTGGAGGACTTGGACGTGGACGTGGACGTGGACGTGGACGTGGTCATGGACGTGGAGGACTTGGACATGGACGTGGACGTGGACGTGGTCGTGGTCGTGGACGTGGTCGTGGACGTGGACGTGGTCGTGGACGTGGTCGTGGACGTGGACGTGGTCGTGGACGTGGTCGTGGACGTGGACGTGGACGTGGTCGTGGACGTGGAGGACTTGGACGTGGAGGACTTGGACGTGGACTGACGTGGACGCGGACGTGGACGCGGACGTGGACGCGGACGTGGACGCGGACGTGGACGCGGACGTGGACGTGGACGTGGACGTGGACGTGGACGTGAACGTGCACGGGGACGTGGACGTGGACGTGAACATTGATACGTGGACGCGGACGTGGACGTGGTCGTGGACGTGGACGTGGACGTGGTCGTGGACGTGGACGTGCACGTGGACGTGAACGTGAACGTGAACGTGGACGTGGACGTGAACGTGGACGTGGACGTGAACGTGGACGTGAATGTGGACGTGAACGTGAACGTGAACGTGATCGTGAACGTGGACGTGGACATGAACGTGGACGTGAACGTGAACGTGGACGTGGACGTGCACGTGGACGTGAACGTGAACGTGGACGTGAACGTGGACGTGGACGTGGACGTGGACATGGACGCGGACGTGGACGTGGACGTGGACGTGAACATTGATACGTGGACGTGGACGTGGACGTGGACGTGGACGTGGACGTGGACATGGTCGTGGACGTGGACGTGGACGTAGACATGGTCGTGGACCTTGACGTGGACGTGGTCGTGGTCGTGGACGTGGTCGTGGACGTGGACATGGACGTGGACGTGGACGTTGACGTGGACGTGGACGTGGACATGGACGTGGACGTGGACGTGGTCGTGGACATGGACGTGGACGTGGACGTGGACGTGGACGTGGGCGTTGACGTGGGCGTGGACGTGGACGTGGACGTGGACGTGGGCGTTGACGTGGTCGTGGACGTGGTTGTGGACGTGGACGTGGACGTGGACATTGATACGTGGACGTGGACATGGACGTGGTCGTGGACATGGACGTGGACGTGGACGTGGACGTGGTCGTGGACGTGGACGTGGACGTGGACGTGGACGTGGACGTGGACGTGCACGTGGACGTGGACGTGAACGTGAACGTGGACGTGGACGTGGACGTGAACGTGAACGTGAACGTGAACGTGGACGTGGACGTGAACGTGGACGTGGACGTGGACGTGAACGTGAACGTGGACGTGCACGTGCACGTGGACGTGAACGTGAACGTGGACGTGAACGTGGAAGTGGACGTGGACGTGGTCGCGGACGTGGACGTGGACGTGGACGCGGACGTGGACGTGGACGTGAACATTGATACGTGGACGTGGACGTGAACGTGGACGTGGACGTGGACATGGTCGTGGACGTGGACGTGGACGTAGACATGGTCGTGGACCTTGACGTGGACGTGGTCGTGGTCGTGGACGTGGTCGTGGACGTGGACATGGACGTGGACGTGGACGTGGACATGGACGTGGACGTGGACGTGGACGTGGACGTGGACGTGGACATGAACGTGGATGTGGACATGGACGTGGATGTGGTCGTGGTCGTAGACGTGGACGTGGACGTGGACGTGAACGTGTACGTGGACGTGGAGGACGTGGATGTGGAGGACGTGGACGTGGACGTGGAGGACGTGGACGTGGACGTGGACGTGGACGTGGTCGTGGACATGGAGGTTGACGTGGACGTGGACGTGGTCGTGGACGTGGAGGTTGACGTGGACGTGGACGTGGTCGTGGACGTGGAGGACTTGGACGTGGACATGGATGTGGACGTGGACGTGGACGTGGACGTGGACATGGTCGTGGACGTGGACGTGGACGTGGACGTGGACGTGGACGTGGACATGGACGTGGACGTGGACGTGGACGTGGACGTGAACGTGGACGTGGACGTGAACGTGAACGTGAACGTGAACGTGAACGTGGACGTGGACGTGAACGTGGACGTGGACGTGGACGTGAACGTGGACGTGAACGTGAACGTGGACGTGCACGTGCACGTGGACGTGAACGTGAACGTGGACGTGAACGTGGACGTGGACGTGGACGTGGTCGCGGACGTGGACTTGGACGTGGACGCGGACGTGGACATGAACGTGGATGTGGACATGGACGTGGATGTGGTCGTGGTCGTAGACGTGGACGTGGACGTGGACGTGAACGTGTACGTGGACGTGGAGGACGTGGATGTGGAGGACGTGGACGTGGACGTGGAGGACGTGGACGTGGACGTGGACGTGGACGTGGTCGTGGACATGGAGGTTGACGTGGACGTGGACGTGGTCGTGGACGTGGAGGTTGACGTGGACGTGGACGTGGTCGTGGACGTGGAGGACTTGGACGTGGACATGGATGTGGACGTGGACGTGGACGTGGACGTGGACGTGGACATGGTCGTGGACGTGGACGTGGACGTGGACGTGGACGTGGACGTGGACATGGACGTGGACGTGGACGTGGACGTGGACGTGGACGTGAACGTGGACGTGGACGTGAACGTGAACGTGAACGTGAACGTGGACGTGGACGTGAACGTGGACGTGGACGTGGACGTGAACGTGGACGTGAACGTGAACGTGGACGTGCACGTGCACGTGGACGTGAACGTGAACGTGGACGTGAACGTGGACGTGGACGTGGACGTGGTCGCGGACGTGGACTTGGACGTGGACGCGGACGTGGACGTGGACGTGGACGTGAACATTGATACGTGGACGTGGACGTGAACGTGGACGTGGACGTGGACATGGTCGTGGACGTGGACGTGGACGTAGACATGGTCGTGGACCTTGACGTGGACGTGGTCGTGGTCGTGGACGTGGTCGTGGACGTGGACATGGACGTGGATGTGGACGTGGACGTGGACATGGACGTGGACGTGGACGTGGACGTGGACGTGGACGTGGACGTGGACATGAACGTGGATGTGGACATGGACGTGGATGTGGTCGTGGTCGTAGACGTGGACGTGGACGTGGACGTGAACGTGTACATGGACGTGGAGGACGTGGATGTGGAGGACGTGGACGTGGACGTGGAGGACGTGGACGTGGACGTGGACGTGGACGTGGTCGTGGACGTGGAGGTTGACGTGGACGTGGACGTGGTCGTGGACGTGGAGGTTGACGTGGACGTGGACGTGGTCGTGGACGTGGAGGACTTGGACGTGGACATGGATGTGGACGTGGACGTGGACGTGGACGTGGACATGGTCGTGGACGTGGACGTGGACGTGGACGTGGACGTGGACATGGACGTGGACGTGGACGTGGACGTGGACGTGGACGTGAATGTGGACGTGGACATGGTCGTGGACGTGGACGTGAACGTGGCAAAGACGTGGACATGGACGTGGACGTGAACGTGGACGTGGACGTGGACATGGACGTGGACGTACACGTGCACGTAGAAGTGGACATGGTCGTGGACGTGGACGTGAACGTGGACGTGGACGTGGACATGGTCGTGGATGTGGACCTGGAAAGGAGCGTGCCTGGTCCACGACCGTGCCTGGTCTAGGAGCTTGCCTGGTCTAGGAGCTTGCCTGATATGGAGCTTGCCTGGTCCAGGAACTTGCCTGGTCCAGGAACGTGCCTGGTCTAGGAGCTTGCCTGGTCCATGAACGTGCCTGGTCCAGGAGCTTGCCTGGTCTAGGAACTTGCCTGGTCCAGGAACGTGCCTGGTCCAGGAGCTTGCCTGGTCCAGGAACGTGCCTGGTCCAGGAGCTTGCCTGGTCTAGGTGCTTGCCTGATCTGGAGCTTGCCTGGTCCAAGAGCTTGCCTGGTCCACGAGCTTGCCTGGTCCAAGAGCTTGCCTGGTCCAGGAACGTGCCTCGTCCACGAGCGTGCCTGGTCCAGGAGCTTGCCTGGTCCAGGAGCTTGCCTGGTCCAAGAGCTTGCTAGGTCCAAGAGCTTGCCTGGTCCAGGAGCTTGCGTGGTCCATGAGCTTGCCTGGTTCAGGAGCTTGCTTGGTCCACAAGCTTGCATGGTCCAAGAGCTTGCCTCGTCCAGGAGCATGCCTGGTCCAAGAGCTTGCGTGGTCCTTGAGCTCGCCTTGTTCGGGAGCGTGCCTGGTCCACGAGCGTGCCTGGTCCAGGAGCTTCCTGGTCCAGGAGCTTGCCTTGTCCAGGAGCTTGCCTGGTCCCTGAGCGTGCCTGGTCCACGAGCCTGCCTGGTCCAAGAGCTTGCGTGGTCTAAGAGCGTGCCTAGTCCACGAGCGTGCCTGGTCCAGGAGCTTGCCTGGTCCATGAGCTTGCCTGGTCCATGAGCTTGCCTGGTCCAGGAGCGTGCCTGGTCCAGGAGCTTGCCTGGTCCATGAGCTTGCCTGGTCCAGGAGCTTGCCTGGTCCAGGAGCTTGCTTGATCCAGGAGCATGCCTGGTTCAGGAGCTTGCCTGGTCCAGGAGCTTGCCTGGTCCTAGAGCGTGCCTGGTCCAAAAGCTTGCCTAGTCCAGGAGCTTGCTTGGTCCAGAAGCGTGCATGGTGCAAGAGCTTGCCTGGTCTAGGAGCGTGCCTGGTACAAGAGCATGCGTGGTCCCGGAGCTTGCCTTGTCCAGGAGCTTGCCTGGTCCAGGAGCGTGCTTGGTCTAGGAGCTTGCTTGGTTCAGGAGCATGCCTCGTCCACGAGCGTGCCTGGTCTAGGAGCTTGCTTGGTTCTGGAGCTTGCCTGGTCTAGGAGCTTGCCTGGTCCAGGAGCGTGCCCGGTCCAGGAGTGTGCCTAGTTCAGGAGCTTGCTTTGTCCAGAAGCCTGCCTGATCCAAGAGCTTGCCTGGTCTAGGAGCGTGCCTAGTCCAAGAGCTTGCCTAGTCTAGGAGCTTGCCTGGTCCAGGAGCTTGCCTGGTCCAGGAGCTTGCCTAGTCTAGGAGCGTGCCTGGTTCATGAGCTTGCCTGGTCCAGGAGCTTGCCTGGTCCAAGAGCTTGCGTGGTCCAAGAGCTTGCGTGGTCCTGGAGCTTGCCTGGTCGAGGTGCTTGCCTGGTCTAGGAGCTTGCCTAGTCCAGGAACTTGCGTGGTTCAGGAGCGTGCCTGGTCCACGAGTTTGCCTGGTCCAGAAGCTTGCCTGGTCTAGGAGCTTGCTTGGTCCAAGAGCTTGCCTAGTCCAGGAGCTTGCTTGGTCCAGGAGCTTGTCTGGTCCAGGAGCGTGCCTGGTCCACGAGTTTGCCTGGTCTAGAAGCTTGCCTGGTCCAGGAGCTTGCCTAGTCCAAGAGCTTGCCTGGTCCAGGAGCTTGCCTGGTCCAGAAGCTTGCCTAGTCCACTAGCTTGCCTGGTCCAAGAGCTTGCCTGGTCCAAGAGCTTGCGTGGTCCAAGAGCTTGCCTGGTCCAGGAGCTTGCCTGGTCTAGGGGCTTGCCTATTCCAGGAGCTTGCCTGGTCCAGGAGCGTGCCTAGTCCACGAGTTTGCCTGGTCAAGAAGCTTGGGTGGTCCAGGAGCTTGCCTGGTCTAAGAGTTTGCCTGGTCGAGGAGCTTGCCTGGTCCAGGAGCTTGCTGCGGAGATAACTACTACAACGGGAGCTAGACTACTGGCTAGGCACGTGTGCTCGTGTGATCTCTGCGTTCGTTGGTCCTTAGACCTTTTCCCAGTGCTAACACTGCTTGCTAGTTCACGGGGCAATTTGGCAAGAGTTTCACTAAGAAAAGATCACAACAATGGTACAATGAAGTTGGCAATGCAAGACTACATCAGAGCTAGCATTCAGGTTGGTCAATTGCCAGCACAGCATGGTCGACCGCATTCCAACACGACTTGGTCGACCGCGCTCCAGCAGAGCAAAGTCGACAGCTTGCCAATGCTTCAGGTCGACGGTGTGCCAGCAGTGCACCCGCTTTGCAGGTGCGTGCAGATGATTGGTATGCCGAGCCTCATCACCTGCACAGCACACACACACCACGTCAGCCTCGGGCTGACGGCTACCTCTGATCTGCCACGACGACCTCGTGATACCACCACCAAGGTCGGTCTCGCCAGCTTCGCCTGGGCGACCGTCGCACTCCTCCGCAGCACTTCGTCACCCAGGTAACCTGGTCGACCGGGCAACCACATCGACCAGCAACTCCCGTACGTGTCCGTCGACCTCCCAAGTCGACGACCACCTCGTTGTCGACCTCACCGGGTCGACCATGCCCCTCGGTCGACGACCATGTCACTCGACGCCCGACTGCTCGACGCCCGACTGCTCGACGTCCTGACTGCTCGACGTCCTGCTACTCGACGTCGACCCCTCCTTCGTCGACCACCGGTCCAGTCAACCACCCGCAGGTCGACCAGCACATCAGCCGACCACCAAAGTCGGCTTCCCAAGTTGACGTCCTCCGCAGGTCGACGCTTAAGTCGACCTCCCCGAAGTTGGCGCCACCCCGAAGTCGGCGCCCGTGCAGTGGTCCCCGTGCAGGTCGACCTTCTCGTCGACCACCTCGCCCACTGCTGCAGGTCGGCTGCTCCCCTAACACCCGACCACGATGTCGGCTCCGCCCAAGCGTGGACGGGGCCAACATACAACTCCCGTTGACACTCCCCTGCCGCGTTCACGCTTGGTCCCCCTCAAGTCCACTCGGCAATACTCCTCGGAGAATAGCTCGTCGACGTGCACCCAACACACCGCACGTCGTCCACCGCACAAGCCATGCAAGAGGGCATGGCACCTACTGCTGCACGTCGTTGTCCCCGTCGCCCACGTCGGCCAAGCGCACCTGGCCGATTGCGACGGAGCACCGGTTGAAGGCCGGATAGTGCAGCGCCTTCGTCAGGAAGTCGGCCGGCTGCTCAGTGGTTGGGATGTACCTCAACGAGAACTTCCCGCGCTTCACCATGTGCTGCAGCCAGGCCTGTCGCCGCTCCATGTGCTTGAGGTTGCCCGTCAACCCCATGCCCTCGGCGACTGAGATAGCCGACTTGTTGTCCACCCGAAGGACGGTCGGCTTCCCGGCATCCAGCTGCCGGAACTCTGCAAGGAGGAAACGAAGTCGACGTCCTTCCTTGCCGGCTTCGGTGGCTGCCACGTACTCCGACTCAGTCGACGACAACGTCGCACACTTGATGCGCTGGCTCGACCAGGAGACTGCAGCCCCTCCATAGACGAACACGTAGCCACTCGTGCTCGTCCTGTTCTGCTTGTCACCGGCGTCGTCGGCGTCCACGTAGCCGACCAGGTCCAGCGACTCAGGTCCACCGCCGAACTCCAGGGCGGTGTCACGCGTATTGGCGAGGTAGACGAGGCAGCGGTCGACCTCACGCCAGTGCTGGTCGCTCCTCACCGTGAGACCGCTCCCCAGCTTGCTGCAGGCGAAGGCGATGTCCGGCCTCGTCGTCGTCGCCGCGAACTGCAGCGAGCCGACCTTCTGCCGGTACTCCTCCTCTTGCCGCTCCTGTGCCTCCTCATCATCGAACGTGAGCTCAGCGTAGGCGGCGACAGAGACCGGCGTCTTCGGGGTGCGCCCGGTCTGCTCCTCGTCGATGAAGCGCCTACGCAGCTTGTCGGCGTAGCCCTGCTGGTGCAGCCACAGCTTCCCCGCCGACCTGTCGCGGACGATCTCCAGCCCGAGGTACTTCTGCACCGGCGAGATCTCACGCAGCTCGAAGGCGGCTTCCAGCAGCTCCTTCAGCTCCTTCAACATCGCGGTGCTACTGCTGGCGGCAAGTAGGTCGTCGACGTAGACCAGCACCCAGCAGGCCACTCCGTCCTCTCCGACCTTGCAGTAGAGAGCCTCGTCGACCTGGCTCTTCTTCCACCCGGCG